TCTGGAGCCTGAAAGAAACACCTTATCCTTACACATCCCTCCTCTGCTGTCATTACTGAGAGAAAATACCCTCTCTGGACCACAGCCCCTCTTACTCATTCTTCACTTGAAATGAAACATCCACACATCCTTTTCCACTGATTAAAATCCTTCACTGTTTATTGCTTTTTCAATGAAGACCCAAACTCTCAAGGTTAGGACTGTTCGTGAGTTTTCAGCTCCACCTCAGATCCCTCTGCCTCTCACTACGATAACTATTCTCTTTCAGATCCCTCCAGATACCTTGTTCCCTTCCACTTCGGAGCTTTTCCACATAATAATAATACCACGTCTGTCTACAGTGCTCCTCTTTTTTCCCTCTCTTTCCTCTCCCTTATCCTTCAACTCTCTCAGCTCAACTATCCCAGGAAGACTTCTTAACATGTAGATGGGGTGTGGGTTTTCTGTGAAATGTGTTTCTGTCTCCAGTACTTTGCCCCTATTCAATCCATCAGCCTGTAACGATCCCCATGTGTAATTATTTGATTAATGTCTTTTCTCCATCAAAGTCTATGCTCCATTAGAGCTGAGACTTACATTATCTGATTGGGTGCTTTTGTCTCCCTAGTGTTGACAACAGCACCTGGAACAGGAATGGAGCTTAATAGTTTATCAGTTTAATGAATAAATGCTAAATGACCCTGCTGTGCAGTCCATTTGGTAATTTCCACTTATGTGTCTTTTAAGGGAAAGAGCAAGGGAGGTACAAAATGTTTCAATGACTGGAGATCCACAATGGAAATTTTATCCTAAAGGTTGTTAGTTGCTCCTGGTGTTAATTTTACATTGTTTAATTTAGGGGGGGGGATGGAAATTCAAATGAAAATTCAAATGATTAAAAAAACCCTCCAATTAAAACCACTTACAGATTTAAGCTATAAGAAAAATTCTTCACTGTTAGATGAAGGAATTTGTCAAATGAATAAATTTAAATTAATCTTATTTAAAAGCACAAATAAGGATTGTGGCAACTTGTTAGAAAATAGACCTTCTGTTTTAAAATTTAAAAAATTAAACTGTAATATCTTTAGTACTAGTGCTACAAAATTAGGACTAGAACATGATTCTCCTTATTTATTTTTTACACTGGATGGGCCATAAGTGATAACCTATGTATAGAACACCAGGCAGAGCTGATTCCAAAATTATCTTTTCTTGCCACTTCTTCTCACACATTTCTTATGTTGCCATCTGATCTGAAAGTGTTTCAAATACTTCTAAAGGCCTATCATCTTGGACATCTTTTGACATCAAGTAAGGGTGATGAGCTCTACTTAGAAGCATTTCCAACTTCTAGTCTATTTTTATTGTACATTTGAACAGTGTGCTTTGCTTTGTCAAAAGCTGACTTCTCATTATGCTGTCCAGGATCCAACAGAAATTATAGTTCCTTATTTCCAAATCTATCCTTAAGTAATCTTTTATTTTATCAACAAAGCAGAAAATACATATTGTACCATTTTTTAGATCTTGTCTAGAAAATACATTACTTACCTGGTATGCTTTTTGGACAGCTGAAAAAATATTGGAGATAAAACAGTATCTTGAGAGAACAGGAAGATCATACAAGGGTTACTTTCAGTATCAGTGCCTGACTTGGGCTCAATCCCTGCTACCACATGGGACCCTGAGCACCCCAGAATGTAAGCCTGGAGACACTTAGGCACTGATGAAGTGGCCCTGGTGGTCCCCAACACTGTAGAGTCTGAGCAGCACTGTATCCTCAGACTCCCACAATCTACTGACTTGATGAGAATTTCAGGAAATGACTTCCAGATGCCTCAAATAGTGTATGGAACCCTCACTTCAAAAAAAAAAAAAGACCAATCATAAATAAAATCCTAAAAGTAGCTGGGATATGAACTCCATGGTGAAATGGGTCATGTTTTCCTATTCCTTTTTAATTTAATTTAATTTGCGCTTTTTGTTTCAAAGCATTTTTAAAATTTTAATAGTTTATTATTGAATCACTGTGAGGTGAGATTGATCCTTGCAAAGCTATTCATGATTAGGTTTCAGTCATACAGTGTTCCAACACCCATCCCTCCACCAGTACATTTCCCAGCACCAGTGTCCCCAGTTTCCTTCTGAGCATTCCCTCTTTGCCCCCAGCCTGCCTCTACGGACACCTTTCTACTCTCTCGTCTCTTTATTTCTCTACTTTATTTTGTTATTTCTATGCCTACTGCCTCCCTCATTGAAGACAGTAAGTATTTTAAAATTTGTCTTCATTTACTAAACTCTTACACTTACTATACATCTAACTTTAGGCGCAGAATGATATTACAGCAAGTAGGGTACTTGGCGCCGTGTAATCCCATCAGCGGCCAAGACTCAGAGACTATAAAATCCAGATCCCGGACGAGAACAGTGCAGTCTTCTGCCCCCGCGCCTGGGTGTTCCTTCCCGGAGCCCCTTGGAGGGGAGCGGGTTGAGCTTTCCTCCCTGCCCCGACCAGGGCTCCGGCAGCCGAAGACCTCCAGGACCAGCCATCACCATGCTGAGACCACTCTCCGCACACATGAAGGTACTGGCAGAGGGACAAAGCCACGCGGGTTCCGGGGCTGAGACCTCCAAGCCTACTCGAATTGGAGTCGAGCATCTTCCACCCAGATCCTCCAAATTCCAGTAGGCGGGGGTCACACCCACCACCTGGCCCCCTGGCGCCGTGTAATCCCATCAGCGGCCAAGACTCAGAGACTATAAAATCCAGATCCTGGAACCGCGCGGCCGCATTTGCGGCCGCGCAACATCTTATCAAAACTTTTTTTTTTTATGACATCTTATTGTCTCATTCCTATTTTGGACAAACTTGCAGGCTATCGAGTGTAGCCTGCCCACAGGGCAGAGTCTGGCAAACTCCCCGTGGCGTACCAAATATGCCAAATACCAGTAACAATGATGGGTCTCATTCTCCTAAAGAGCCTTGAATATAATCTCAGGGCTAGGATGAAAGAGACGTTACTGGGGCCTGCTCGAGGCAATCGACGAATAACAGGATAATGAAAAAAAAAATGAAAAGGGTACTTGTCTTGCACAAAGCCAATTGGTTTGATCCGCTGCTTTCCATATGGTCCCCAGAGCCTGCCAGGAGAGATCCCTGAGCACAGAGCCAGGAGTAAGCCCAGAGCATGCCAGGTGTGGCACCCAAATAAAAAGCAAACAAAATAAATTTAAGAATAAATTTAATATACATTTAAATTTACATTAAACTTTTTACATTAAAATAATATGTGTTTATTAAATATTTGGGGAGAAAACCAAAAGGAAAAGAAAATGGTATTTAAGATAATTACAATCAACATTTTGGCATATTCTTAGAAATATTTTACACATGCATATATATTTTCTTTTTACTTCCTGCTTACATATAGTTTTATATATGTCTATATTTACTTACAATGTATTCAACATACATTCTCCAACTCATCAAGTGTTTTTGATTTCAGTACTACTGGCATTTGTATGCAATTTCTCAGCAAGAATGAACCAATTATGCAAATAAACTTACTGAAAAATGGAGCGAATGATATAATAGCTCTGTTTTTCAGCTCTTAGTAAAACAGGAGATTTTGGTTACTAGGGACTAATCAGCTAGACAAGAATTCAGTGACCAATGCTAAGTCTAAAATTACATAGACCATGCTTAGTCTCTAGTAAACAAAGAACATTCTAAAACTACTTTCCATATGGAAGCAAACACCTTTATTTAAAGAGTCGCATATTTTAACAAAAAATCCAAATAAAAAAGTATCCCTGTACTTCTGGTGTTGAGTGGCAAACCCATTCCAAGTAACCCAATAATAGAAAGAACAAATAGTGTCATATTTAGTTGTCTACAAAGTGGGAAATTTTGTAGTGAAATTGAGACCAAACATTCCAATTCCTATGTTTTTCATTTTAACTGAGAAGGCCACCTAATACTCTTTGATTTAATTCAAGTGGCAGAACTTGAATGAAGAGTATATGTTTACTTTCAAGAATAAAAAAGTGACTTTCTTGACAAGTGCAACAATATCATTTCTAAGTAATTAAGTATGCTTTGGAATTAGCTTCTGATTAACTTTCTTGACAGAAATTACCACAACATGTCAGTAAAACCAAATTCTAAATTCTAGCATCAGGGAGGCCCACTGTATCATGGTCTGTGGGAATACTAGTATTGATGGGACCTGTAAATATGTCTTAAATATATTCCTGCCCGTCGAAAAGGACTTTGTTTATCTCCCCTCATCAACTTCCCAATACCATACACACAGACCCATGTATATATTTCGTATTTACAAAGTTCAAACTCTGGAATGGCTATGAAGTATATATCTACAGGGATTTCTACAGAACTTAATACTACTATTAAACATGTTTAACAAGTGTTGACTTAAGTGGTAAACCAATGGCATCTCTTTAGGTGGAAATTTTTTACAACAAGGTATTTTAAGTGACTTATGTAAGTTTTTCTCTAAGCCAATTGCATAACATGAATAAGTGAATATAAACTTTAGGGATTTAACAATCTACAGTGTAGGGGACAGGTTAAATATCTAGTAATTAGCTGAGATACTTTATTTGCTATACAATGTTGTTAAAGGTATTTCCTATAAAAGCTCAAACCCAGAATTAAAACTCTTAAAATAGAATGAATTATGTAAAGAAAATATTCATCTAGGTTCATTTGAGGTCATCTCTGATTATTCTGAGGTGAAGGGGCAATTATTTCATGCTGTCCTTGGGTGATCACATGACTTAAACATTATAAGTGTGGAAGGTAGTGGCAGTGGGGTAAAGAGAATGCTCCTGTTTTATCTTCCCCAAGAAGAACTGATCTGTACTTAGACAAAGGGCCACTTAGGTCTATCCACTCTGCACCCAGCAGAGTGTCTGTACACAGCACACACTTTCAAGTAACTGTTTGCTGATGAGGATGGTAGGGTTAGGGAAAAGAAGGGTTCTGGTACCATAATCTATGAACCCACAATTTTTTGGCTGATGGCTCCTGGCAAAGTATAGATGAAGAGGACCAGGAAGATGATGAGGACGAGCAGAATAAAAGCGATAATGATGTACTTCTTGTAATTCCTCCAGATGAGGTGGTAGAGGCACTTGAAGGGGCTCACGAACCAGGAGAAGGAGGTGTCTGGACGGCTGGAAAGGAGGCAAGAGAAGATCAGGTTGTGTTGTAAACATACTGAATATACAAGCTCTCAGGAAGTATACCTGACTTCCACTTTCTGGGACCTCACAAAGAGAGGCCTGAGAACAGGAGAGGATGTGTTGTTCTGAAGCAGGAATGGTTTCTTTTTCGGGTTGGTATGGTTTCAGCATCCTTGTTCAGACTGGTGGGGAGTATGGCAAGAGTCTACCCAAAAGCAAGGGAAGGGGCTGGAGTGATAGCACAGCTTGTAGGGCATTTGCCTTGCACGTGACTGACCCGGGTTCGATTCCCAGCATCCCATATGGTCCCCCAAGCAACTGCCAGGAGTGATTCCTGAGTGCAGAGCCAGGAGTAACCCCAGTGCATCTCTGGGTGTGACCCAAAAAGCAAAAAAAAAAAAAAAAACCCAAAGCAAGAGGAAATGTGTCCAACCGTTAGCTGCTCAGGTTCTGTTCCGTGGCGCCTGCCCTACTCTCTGGTTCACAGTGATTCCTTTCTTCCACATACTGATCTCACTTGTCTTTTGACTTATCCCCTTTCTAAGCTGAATATATTTGCCTTCTATACTCTGACAACAATCTTACGAGTCTCTTTGTTCTTCCTATTCAGACAGAAAGTTCTTGCAAGGGAAAGTACATGTCTTATACTTCTTTGATGTTCTTCTAAAGAGTACATATTGTAGGAGCTCAAAAAATAATTTTTCAGTAATGAATAACTAAGCACACATAATTAGGAATTCGTGTTCCTATGGTAAATCACAGGTAGGTACAGAGAAGGAATGATTCATCTTGTGTCCCTTAGAATGCAAGAAGGACAGATGGAATTGAAAAAATTCATTTTTATTTATATTTTACATCTATGTATATTTTATTTTTAAGTGATATGTGATCATGGATTAAACTGAATAAGGAAATTATTCTAAAAAGTCTACTCCTGAGAATTTACTTTAGATTAATAATTTATAAAGGCAAAACTTTTAAAAATAATATTATATTCATGATAATGGAGGAAAAGTACAGGTAAAATTATACAGAATTATAGAATACCAAATAAGTCAATTGTGAGCATTAACTCTTGGTTATTATTGCACCATTAAAAATCCTAATTATTAGCATATAAAGAAACGTGGTAAAAGAATAACAAATGGTCATGTTTGTGTGATTATAGAATGAGTAGAAAAATCATGTGAATTCATATTCATATAAGAATTCATTATTTTATTAGAACTTATTCGTTTAAAAATGAAAAGAAAAGTCATAAAGGGTTAATATAGGAATTCTTCTGTGGTTCTACTAGAAAAAAAGCAAACTCTTCATTTGCCAAACACTCAGTAATATTTTAGAATATTTTCCAACTACAGGAACTAAATACTACATTGGTATGATGGCACCTTTTTGTGGATGCTTTTCAGTTCTCCCAGAAAAATCCAATAAACCACTGACTTCTTTTACACTTTGGACCAGGACTGAGTTGAAAACCACTAAAGTAAAGCCCTGAACCTTAGGCATAAGGATTGCAAGGGGTATTTGCATTTCTGGTACCCTCAGCTCAACTCACTTGGGCTTAGCCAGAGGCTCTGGCTCCTTCCGGGCTTTTCCGACAGGGTTCCTCTCAGCTTCTTCTGCTGTGACCAAGTGAAATTCAGCTTCGACCTTGCCCTGAACAAAGATGAGAGATTCAGTTTCTAGTTACAAAGACCAGCCAGGGCATTGCCACTATGTTAGAAGTGCTATCCTGTAGGAATGTCAGCAAATATTCTGGCTCTCCTGCTGTTTTATTTTGAGAAATATTGTTGCCTTGGGAGAAGCCACTTTTGTGACAATGAAAGACCAAAATGATTTTTTTATTGAGTGTTGTGGGCTGGACCGATAGCACAGCGGTAGGGTGTTCGCCTTGCACGCAGCCAACGTGGCCAACCCGAGTTCGATTCCTCCGCCCCTCTCAGAGAGCCTGGCAAGCTACCGAGAGTATCTCACCCGCAAGGCAAAGCCTGGCAAGCTCCCCGTGATGTATTCAATATGCCAGACACAGTAACAACAAAGTCTCCAATGGAGACGTTACTGGGTCCGCTTGAGCAAATTGATGAACAACGGGAGGACGGTGACAGTGACATTGAGTTTTGTGAAAGATAACCACACACACACACACACACACACACACACACACACACACACACACAGAGACACAGTTGCCGATGCTATTTTGTTTGTAACTAAAAAAGGTAACTAATAAAACATGTATTATAGAAACTTAATAGCAATTAGAAAAAATATTAGCATGGCAGAACTTTTTAGAATCACTATCATCATTCTTCTCTGTCAAAGATTCTCAAGAGGACAGTGATAGGAGCGGCCCTACATTTATCAAATGATTTTTCTGTCACCCCTCATTGTTTTTGTCACCCCCGTGAATTGTTTTAGAATTATCCTCTTATTATAGATTTTCCTTCTTTTTTTGTCCCCTCAATAATAAATTGAGCTTCTGACTTGAAAATGCAGAGTCAAGTGCTTTAGAAAGTGGAGCTGTTTTAAAGTAATTGTTCTTAAGTCTTGAGTTACCAAAGGGTTAGAAGTGTATGCAAAAGGTAAGAATCGTCTTTTTCCTTCATTTGTTTGCTAATTTGGGAACCCTTTGAATGGTAGGTACTGTGCTAGGTACTGCGAACTTGAAGATTAAGAATAATATGGTCCTCTATTTTATGAATCTCCTATTGTTGGTAGCAGATACCCACTCTCCCTACTTTCCTTGAAGATGATGTTCAAGTTTACAGAAGGGACACAGAATTGTCCCAAGAATTCTACCACCCAAGAATTTTACCACCTAAGAATTCAATTCACCCAAGATTTCTATCCCCTACAATTGCGATAAAAGACTGTTTTCCTGGATAACACCTGGTTTGTGAGTAATATCTCATTTCCTACCTCAATAAAAAGTTTGTGATGCATTAATAACCTTTCACAATTCACTTACATATTCACTCTGAAAAGACCCGGATTATATGTTTTTTAAATCTTAGCATATGGTTGTTTTTGGTTCTAAGTAATTCCCAATTTTTACAAAAGCAACATTCATAGGTAGTATGCAAAAGGCACCTTTAAAATTGATGTACATTTTAAATTTTTGCTCCTTCCAACTTCAAAGTTCGAGTAATGCAACAAGTTCTATTTTTTTAGTTAAAATCTATGGGGGGAGGGAACACATTTTTAAATTTTTTTTAGGCTTTTGACTATCTACAGTCTATCCAACTATTATTATTATTATTATTATTATTATTATTATTATTGTAGTTTAGGTGACCTGTTTACAATAGTGTTAACACTTATGGGATTGATGTGCAGTTGCTGTAACTGACCACCACCAATATGCTCAATACCCTCTACTAATATCTTTATGTTACATCTAAGCCACCTCTTCTCTCTCCTGTACCCCCACCCCACCCTCTGGTAACCTCTGCTTGGTAACCTCTGTTTTATAATCCGAAGAGCAGAATTTCTTAACAAATGGGTTTGATTGCTTACAGCCATGAAAATATAGCCTGGGTGGAGGTAAGGCTGACTTTGCTTTTCCTGCAAAAAGCTCCAATCTGAGACTACAGCTTTCTCTTCTGTTTCCCCACTCCACCCTCCAAGGCTTTTCACAGGGAAGTTAATGTGGATCAAGTAGGATGGCGGCTGTACTCTTTCTTTATCTAGGCTATTCCTTCCAGGCTCCTCATTTCTCCAAAGACATCCTTTGGCGAGCCATTCACAAGAAAAGTGAAGAAACTGCATCAATGGTTAGAGCAGTAACTTTGAAAAATCTTCCGTAAGGTTCCTTGGGGTTTCTCCTACAGTCTTGGTCAAAATAGAAACTTTAATTAGTGGAAAATTTTGCTCCCTTGCTAGTCTACCAGAAAGATTTCTTCTTTTTTTTTTCTTTCTTTTTTCTTTTCTTTTCTTTTTTCTTTTTGATGCTCTTTCTTTAACCCTCTCACTTAGTTCAGAAGAAATGATTTCAGATCCAGATAGTAACTGGAATGTTAATGAGGCCAAGACACAGGAACTTAGCCTGGGCAAAATTCAGGCTGCAAATTCTAGTGAGAGAGATGGTATCTGAGCAGAAAAGTTCTCTCTTTTTCTCTCTTTGATAAGGTCTTCAAAACACACTGCCTTTAGTTAGCCATAGTCATGCCTGATATCAGGTCAGATCCCGGGACTCCCAGGGACCTAGTGGGACCTTAATCACTTAATCACTTAACTTCCCGTTAGTCGTCGATTTGCTCGAGCGGGCGCCAGTAACGTCTCCATTTGTCCCTGTCGCGTGCTAGTGTAGCCCAATGGCATCTGTTCGCTCTGGGAACATGAAGGGCCTCAAACCGATCGTTCATGATCTTGACGAAGAAGTCTGACCATCTGGTAGGTGGGCGGCCACGCGGTCTTTTGACATCCCGTGGAATCCAGTCGGTAACAGCTCTAGTCCAGCGGTCGTCACTACTTCCACTACCCAGCCGTCGCCACACTTCAGGATGCTTTCCGGACACATCATAAGACACTAAATACCCATCTTCCGGAATTGTCGTACCGTATTTGATAGGGTTCAAATATGGTAACACCTACAAGGGTGATTAGAGGTCGCCCCAAAAGCCTCTATCCCTCTCGGAAAGACTGGCAAGCTACCGAGAGTATTCCGCCCGCACAGAAGAGCCTGGCAAGTGGGACCTAAGGCAGCAAAATTTAGGGGTTAGAACCCCCCTAGGGCTGCTGTTCTACCCCTTCCTGAAATCTTTAGAGGTTAGAGTTCCTCATTACAGATGCCATGGCCATCACTGGAAATGCAAATCAGGTCTGCCCTAATTTAGAGGGGGTTAATCCCCTGAAAAAAGAAATGCAAGCCATGTTGATAAAACATCCTACTTCCCTGTTCTTTTTTCCCCTCCCCCTTTTCTCATGGTAGATAGGTACTGGCACTCGGGATGCAAAAGCATGGGAAATTTGATCTCCATTTCAGAGGACTCCTCTTTCAGGGCTTATCAAAACACTAGGAAGACTTTCTAATTAAACAGGCTGACAAGGAAGCATCTTATCCATCTTCGTGACACTGTGTGGTGGCCCCAATATAAACGGAGTATGAAGAAAGATGGCCCTCTCAAAGAGACTTTTAGGTTATAATACATACCATCTTGCAGCTAGATCTTTTCTACAAAAAAAACAAGAAGAAGAACGGCATGAAATGGTTTATGTTCAAGCCTTTCTGGCAATATTGAATATTCAAAAAGAAAGAGGGCTTGTATGTATGCTCTGCCATGTTTTGGAATTAAAGGAAGTGATCTGGATTCTGTGGATAGCTTTCTATTGTGAAATCCTCCCAGAACCGGCACCCATGAAAACCCTAAAGCCCTGGTTCCATCTCCCCCTTCACCTCATCATGCCACAGAGACTCAGGCTGAAAAGTTCCACCACTTCCTTCTCAGAAACTCAAAAAGGGGCGAGGGCACTTCATTCTTTCTCCAAGAGGGAAGACAGCCCAGCAGGATACCCTCTCAGTGGAGCTTGATACCATCTCCAAATGGCCCAACTGTTCCTTCTAAGACCAAGCAGGGAAGCAAGTAGAGTACAAACACACACATGCACACACACACACACACACACACACACACACACACACACTCACACTTCACCCACCAGGAGCTCTAGTGCTCTGGTGTCACTGCACTATAAAATGGTAGATCAATTTCTATGTCTTTGTTTGGGTTCCAGGGATTAAAATCTAAGGTTTCATACATACAAAGCATACACTAATACTGTGAGCAATTTCACTGGCCCAATCTTCTTAGAGATGGAGAACTGAAGCTACAGAAATCAAATACCTTACCCACAGTTATGTAGTCAGTAAGCAGCCAGATGGACTTTAAATCAGAGGTCTGTAAAGTGACAAAGCTCTGTAAGTTGAACCCGACACATTCATCTACTTGTCAGATAATTAGATCAGATGTTTTTACAAAAACCTTTCCAACTCGGCAAGAAGATTCTGATGGTTTTCATCACCTAAAGGATTTTTATCTTCTGGGATTCTGTTTCCTTCTCTGTCAAGTGGCAAAAGTCTTTGTAATGAGTTCTGGCTATCACTTCTGCTTTCATGAAACGTGGAGTTGAAAGTCAAGGAGACCCTGATAGATTTGATGGCCAGAAGAAACCCAAGGAGACAGCCCACAACTCAGGAGAGACACTTTTAATAGGCTGAAGGAACTAGAGGTTTCTCAGAAGGAAGCTAAACTCCACAGATCTGTATATTTACATGCTGAAAGTTTCAACCAATTCTTCCAAACTTGAAGGAGAATCAGCTCAAAGAGTTGCTACTTTTTGAGTTTTAGAATGTTTGGAAGAAAGGAGAAAAGTAAACAAGAAGTGGGAACCAGAGTATAAAGGTCAGAGTTGCCTCTCTCCTCTTCACTGCTCCATAGCTCTGTCTGTCCGTACATTATTACCTGGCAACTGCTTCAAGCATGCGCTGTTCCATTCATCCTAACAACACTGCAAGGTAATGTTGTTACTGTTATTACTGTTATTGTTTTATAGACAAGGAAACAAAGGATTGACGATGTTCCCTAATTTGTGGCCGAAATCAAGATTTGCAAGGAAATCCTCTGATACCTAATCCCACCTTCTATTATTTTATGTGT